AGGAGTAAGCCTTGGGCAGGCTTCTTATTAACCCTTCTACATGCTTTTGTGGACCGTGATCGTATCTTGGCACTGTATTAAACTATGTTGGAAACGTTACTTTCAAACTAAATTTGCTTCCGCTTTTATCTATCAAACTCGGTTTGTAATAACTTTTATTCGTACTCTGATGGAGAAATGTATCTGCGAACTTTATGTAATATGTGGCATGTATGTTGAATCATGTACGATCTTGGTTGTTGTAAATCGTTTATCGAGACCCGTCGCGGTACTCGACGGACTACCGGGTTTATATGGGTTCAAGTATGACAGTGCGACCACTTGCGGGCTGCCATTGTACTTGTACTCTTATAAATTGGTCGGTTCTGCGACAGCAAATCTCTTGAAGAACATGTTGAGCATATCCGAAGTGTGCTTGCTGTCTTACGTGAGCAAAAATTGTATGCTAACCTTGACAAGTGCACCTTTTGCACCGACAAGGTAGTCTTTCTTGGCTTTGTTATTTTAGGACAAGGTGTGGAGGTGGATGAGGAAAAGATCAAAGCTGTTTGTGAGTGGATACCTCCACAAAATGTGAGCCAAGTATGGAGCTTCCTCGGACTTGCTGGTTTCTACCGGCGAGTTGTGAAAGATTTCAGCACCATTGCTGCTCCAATCAATGAGTTGACAAATAAAGAAGTGCCTTTTAATTGAGGAGAAGCACAAGATAAGGCATTTGAAGAGTTGAAAATGAAGCTAACAACAACCCCACTCCTTGCACTTCCAGATTTCGGTAAGACATTTAAAATTGAATGTGATGCCAATGGTGTAGGAATTGGAGGTGTGTTGATGCAAGAAAGGAGGCCGATTGCATACTTCAATGAAAAGCTAAGTGGTCCAACTTTGAATTATTCAGTTTATGATAAAGAATTATATGCTCTTGTTAGGAGTTTGGAAACTTGGCAACACTACCTTTTGCCTAAAGAATTTGTGATACATTCAGACCATGAATTCTTGAAACACCTTAAAGGCCAATTAAAACTGAACCGAAGACATGCAAAATGGAGTGAATTCATTGAGTCTTTTCCATACATTGTCAAGTACAAGAAAGGGAAGGATAGTGTTGTAGCTGATGCTTTGTCTCGACGTCATACTTTGCTTTCACAACTTGATGCTAAAATTCTTGGTTTGGAAAGTATAAAAGAATTATATGCCACTGACTCATATTTTGCTGAGCCATATTCCAAGTGTTGTGGTGGCAAGAGATGGGAAAAATTCCATTTGCATGATGGGTTTTTGTTTCGAGCTAATAAACTCTGCATTCCAGATTGTTCTATTCGCATTTTGCTTGTGTAGGAAGCTCATGCGGGTGGACTTATGGGCCACTTTGGTGCCAAGAAAATAGAGCAAGTACTCGTTGATCATTTCTTTTGGCCTAAGATGAGAAGAGACGTGGAGAGGCATGTTCTTCTCTATGAAACCTGCCACAAAGCTAAGTCATGTTCGAACCCTCATGGTTTATACACTCCTGTACCTATTCCTAGTGTACCTTGGGAGGATATCTCTATGGACTTTGTTCTTGTTTACCCCGAACCAAGAGGGGGAGGGATTTAATCTTTGTTGTGGTTGACCGTTTTAGCAAAATGGCACACTTTATTCCGTGCCATAAGAGCAATGATGCTTCACATATTGCTAAATTGTTTTTCAGAGAAGTTGTGCGTCTACATGGAGTACCACGTACCATTGTGTTTGATCGTGACACCAAGTTTTTGAGCTACTTTTGGAAGACCTTATGGGAAAAACTTGGAACCAGGCTGCTATTCTCCACAATGTGTCATCCTCAAACTGATGGGCAAACTGAAGTTGTGAACCGCACACTGTCAACATTGTTGTGAGCTATCCTAAAGAAGAATATGAAGCTGTGGGAAGAAAGTTTGCCACATGTGGAATTTGCATACAACAGGGCGGTACCCTCGACCACCAAATTTTGTCCATTCGAAATTGTATATGGTTTCAAACCTGCTGCTCCCATTAATCTTTTGCCTTTGCCTATGCAGGAACTTATGAACTTTGATGCAGCCAAACAAGCTGAATTTGTCAAGAAGCTTCATGATCGAGCTAGAGAAAACATTGAAAAGATGACCAAGATGTATGAGGAAGATGTTATTTGAACCAGGAGACTTGGTTTGGGTGCATTTGCGCAAGGATCGCTTTCCTGAACAACGCAAGAGCAAGTTGCAGCCCTGAGCCAAAGGTCCATTCAAAATGCTTCGCAAGATTAATGATAACGCATATGAAATTGATCTTCCAAGTACTTATGGTGTTAGTACAAGTTTCAATGTCGTCGATCTATCTCCATTCTTTGGATTGGAAGAGTCGAGGATGACTCCTTTTCAAGAGGGGGAGGATGATGAGGACATCCCAGCCGTGCATGCTAGCTCAAGTCCAAAGGATACAAATCAAGGGCCACTTACAAGAAGCCATGCCAAGAAACTACTAGAGCAGGTGAATTCATTCCTAACTGAGTGTAATTTTAACACTTATGAGAATGTTATACTACCTAAATGTCATATCTTGATGATGCTTAGGTTTACACATGAAGACGTGGAAGGCACATGGCCGAAGGATCAAGACATGGTACTACAAAATAGCTCTATCGGAAAAGTAACACGGACTGACGACCGGACCAGGAAAAAGTAACGCTGATGAAAAGTAGCACGGACGGATGAGCGGACCCAGGAAAAAGTGACGCAGAAGGTCAATAGTCTACCATGAGCAGAATTTGGTACAACTTCCCATGCAAAACTGTACCAATCTACAAAGTTTCGTGGTGCATGCTGCACATAGCTAGAAAGCTCTTCGAGACTACTTTCATATCCAACAAATGGTTCGTCATTTGGACTTCCCAATAAGGAATTATGGCCAGATTTGTGGACACTGTTCTGGAGGCCAACAGTCAGGCAAGACCACTTTGGGAATCCATCTTGTCGTGACCTTTCACATAGCCTATCTTCAGAAACTCCATTTCGTTTTCACACCCAACTAGAAGGGTTGTTCCTAGTATAAATATCCCCTGCCTCTATGCTATTAGGAACCTTTTCATGATTTGATAAACTACATGATATTGCAGCCGAGCTGCCGAGTGCCTTACTCAAACCTCTATTCTTCCTTGTTCTTCTTGGACTTGTGAAGTGATCCATCTGGGTTCTCCTAGTTCGTGCTCTACGGTTTCCAGTACGGCTGCACCATTTTGTGTGGATTAGTTCCAGATTGTGGTTCTCCGGTCGTTCGGAGATCGAGTTGAAGTCTTCACGGTTTCGGTGTCTCTAGCCCCGTCGCTTGGTGGCATCCAACCTTTGTCAGGTATAAAGCTAGTTATCCCGTTGTTCATAGTAAGTTATCTTTAATTCGTGACCTACTGTCGTGAAGATAGGGCCACCCTCAATGACGTTCCTTATCACATATGGTGATGAGTGCTGACATGTAGAAATTGCATTAACTAATTAGTTATATAAAAGCTTTTGACAATGCTTTTCACATGTTTCTTTTGCTACGCTGACTAAACTAACCAAAATATGCTCTGTTTGGATAAACTATTTTTTCATATAAGCTGCAATAACCGAAGGGAACCAGCTAGTAGTGTTTTTTTTAAGTTGAATAGTTAAATAGTTTAAAATAGGTTATATGTTGGACTATAAACTGGACTGTTCAGATTAGCTAGAGCTTTTCTTTTTGGAGCTAACAATTTATTTTAGTCATTCCAAATAGCGCCTTACATGTTGTCAACTTGTCATGAGAGATCGAACGTCATTTTAAAGGTCATCGAAATTCTCCGACAACTTCTTTTTTCTTGAATAAGCAAAAGATTTATACATCTTTAATTTGTATTAAGATCGAGAAATAGTGAAAGTTACAATGACGTGTCAAGAACATGGCACACTAGGAAGGTTAGTGTTATACACTAGGGAGGATATGAGCGTTCATATAAAATCTCTTTGACATTCTAGGGCACTGCTAAGGTGTGTTGTATTGAACATTTCTTCTATCTTAATACAAAAACGTGTAAATCTTTTGCGTGATCGAGAAAAAACAATCGACTTTGCTCTCCCTAGCATAAGGAGATCATAGACTATTACTCGATAATCATACTACCTAGCCATTATCGGCGATCAGATGTGCTGGCTTGCGCGACGCCTCGGTCGCTCTCCTTGTGGGTTCGGAAAGAGCTGTCGCATTGCCTCAACATACGAGGGGTTGAGCTGGTCGATGAAGATATTGTCATAAGTGTTCATGGCTACCATGGAATGCCTCGTCTGTCCGTCGAGGAATCCCATCCGCTTCATCACCAACACCATTCATCCTCCAACAACTTCCATTTGAACACTAGAAGAAGTCCACGATTTCAGAGAAAACTTAACTTCTTTCCTCCATTGGAAGTTTGGAACCGGCCCACGACGTTTGAAAGACTTCTAATTCATTCGAAAGCTAACTGGATCATGCTCATGCACCTTTAAATTATGAGTCTGGCCGACTTCGAAGTTGGATCATGAGCAGAAGTTCAAATTAATTAGCAAATGAAAACGACACCGACAGAACTGAGACAAGTTCACATTCACCAAACATGAGGAGGGGTGACGACGAGGAAAGCACACGAACGCGCAAGGCATGCGAACCGCAAAGCTGCTAAGCATTTTGCCAGTGCCACGAACAAGAAAAAGCATGAATCCGCGCGGATCGGCCCACGTCGTTCAGCTCGGCGCACTCCGCAGTCCAACCGATTCATCAGTTGCTGTTTTCCGTGCACGCAGCATCAGACAGGCCGCGAGCTGAGCCGGGTGCCGCGGCCTCACGCTTTCAGTGTGCACGCATGGCGCGTCGCGCACGCAGCGCCGCAGCATGTATATATAGGGCCCGAAGGAGGCGCCATGCATCCCATCCACAGAGCTGCGCGCGGCAGTTAAGCTCAGCAGCTCACCTTGGACGACCGAGAGTGAGAGACCAGCTAAGCTAGCGATCGAGCGATGGCGGGCTACAAATCGCTCGGCGTCCTCCTGGCTGTCGCCGCGCTCCTCGCCGCGGCGGCAAGTGCGGTGGAGGACGAGCACATGTACCACTGGAAGTGCTTCAAGTCGTGCACGGGGAACTGCCATGACGAGGACGCCGCCTTTGACGACGACGTCGTCGCCAAGGACGGACACCACCCCGCCGGGGGCTCGAACGCCTCGGCCGTCGTCTCCGGCGGCAAGTGCAAGGACAGGTGCCTGAACGAGTGCTTCGAGGACCTGCCGGCCCAATGCTACCACCAGTGCGTCGTCACCAACTGCCTCTGCTTCCCACCCTGTATGTGCTGCACAGTCAAGCTAACACCCATGAATCCTACAAGACAATTATATGCATTACTTCTGCAATCCTAATGATCTCTGCCCCAATTTTGCAGTTAGCAACGAGAAAACGATGTGCCTGAAGAGCTGCTGCGAGAAATGCTTCCACCACGGCCCGCCACCGCCAGCGCCTGGTCCTGGCCCGAAGCCGCCTGCCCCGACGAAGCCCAAGCCACCGCCGAGGCCGCCAGCGCCAAAGCCGCCTGCCCCGACGAAGCCCAAGCCACCGCCGAGGCCGCCAGCGCCAACGCCAAAGCCACCGACGCCCAAGGCGCCGCCACCGCCCAAGAAGCCGTGTCCCTGTCCCCCCGGCAGCGACGAGGTCAAGGCCGACGACAACAGCAACAACTGATACGATGGATCGGCCACTCATCATCAGAATATAACCCCATATACTAGACTTCGTAATTGTACGTGTGTACTTACGTCGTTCGGCACATCAAGTAGGCCCCACCCCACTCTACACGCGACACATATGTACGCAGTGGGAGTGCCAATTTACTGCTGCTAGCAAGGAAACAATGCTATATCCGTTCCTGTATACTGGCATATATACAGCATATATATGAACAAACAAATGCCTGATAGTAGTTCTATAAATGAATGCATGTATTATATGATGTACTAAAATTTATATTCTATATACATATTAGCACTTGCTTGAAGCATGACGTTTATATGTTTAAACTCTTCTGCTTTAATAAAAAAAATATGTAAATCTTTTGTGTATTCAAGAAAAAAAGTTTTCAAGTTTAGCCCCTTGGTCTTTTTTCTTTTTCTTTTGCGAATACCTTCTTTGGTCTTTGATAGCAAACAAATCGGCGCGACTGCAGAAGGCACATTGATACGGTGTCCTCTTTGGGCCGAAAACATGGTTAGAATGCTCCGGATTTAGTAGGCCCCACCAATCATGATGGGCCTTCCCATAAGGTAAAATCCGGCGCAAATCGATTCAGTTGATTTATTTGCTAAAAAAACAGATTCAGTTGATTTATTTTTCCCATATGTTCTCATTTCTGGTCTTCATATTATAGTGGCAAAAGTTTGTCATGAATAGTTCCTTTTTTTTAACGGAACGGGAGCTCTATCTTTTAATTAATATAGAAAACAACTTCTAGGAGTACACTGTAACGACAATAGGACGCACCTTTAAAAGACATTGCAGAAGCAACCTATTGGTACTACTACACCATGGCCAACATGAATAAGAAAACTAGAAATTAATCAGGATACAAATCCAAAGTCAGTTATGAGTTCATGTGTTTGAATTAATTTATAAAACCATATGTCGCCAAACTTTTTTTTTTTTATCGGTGAGATGACTGTTGTATCTTCAGTTATGAGGTCATATGCTTTCTTCTTATTATAAATTCAAAACGGATACAAAATGTGCGCCAGTTATTAATCATATATAGCAAAAAAAATGCTTCCCGGGAAACAAAAAAATAAAACAAAGCTGTACACTATACAAGCTACAAGGCTCGGCGATACGTTAAATCCCCCTATTGGGGCCTCATCTGGCATGATGTGGAACGATCCGAACTGGGGCTCATCAAGCTTCCGCGCCATCTTGGGAACCAGATCCATGACTTGTCACGGTTGTTACATGTCTCTGTCCGGGTGCAGTGCTACATGTTTCTGCAGCACCATGATGTATGGCTTTTCCAGTGTGATGTGGCTGTTTACTCGGCCAGGTTGACATATGAGTTGTGCATGCCATGCTCCTTGAGATCATCAAATGAAGTTTTGATTAATTGGCCAATTATTCCTGGTAATTCTATTGTTGGTCATATCAGATGTGTTTCAGTTTGTTCCTTATTCTTTCTTTCTCTTGCTCCTGAAACTAATGTTTTGATAGTTGCTCTTTCAACAGCTATAAGTTTGATTTGATAAGCTGTAAAACATGGTTCTGCAAATAAGAAGAGTTATCATGCCCAAGAAAAGAAACCAGAACTGCAGATTTGATAGAATTGGTTCCAATAACGACAAAGATGGACAACATTTATCGCCCTGTTCATTTGGGCTTGTTTGGCTGATAAGCCATAGCTGAAAGTACCGTTGGCTGATTTGGTGTGAGAGAAAAATATTGTTCATTGGCTGAAAAAGTACGGCTTATAAGCCAAACAAGCCCAAACGAACAGGGCGTATATCTATATATGTGCTCATAGATTCAAAGATGAGTAGGGACCTTCCGATTAATACAATACTCTAGCATCTATATTAAAATTTATATCATGCATAATTTTCTTTGCACATCGTGTTTAGCAATCAAGAAATGCAGTACTCCTCTAAAAAAGACAGAGAGAGGAAAAAAGAAAAGAAATGCAGTACTTCTTCAGTTCTTCTCAAGAAGCATTTTGATCCGAAGCTGGGGGCCTGGGGGGTTTCTTCTCATGGGATAATGAAATAAATAGGCGTCTGAGATTTAGCATCACCGTTACTTCTTCAATTCTCTCAAGTACACATCGTTTTTTCCTTCTCGAAGATGAGGAGCTCAATTGATATCAGTTGGCCCAGTCTGTGTGTCGGAACCGCTTCACACACTTCCTGCATGCTACAATACTGCAGGCAGTCTGCAGCCTCATGCGCTCCACACGCGCGCAAATGGCGCTGCGTATCCAACACAGCACAGGCACTGCAGGCTGCGGCTACCTCTAGCTAGCTCTGGGGCAGCAGTACATATGCGAGCAGCTCGGCGCGAGGCCACAGGTACCCATCGCCATCGATCCATCGCGTTAGCTGCACCTCCCCTTGGACGTCGCGGCAAGCAATGGCGCGCTCCAAGGCGGTGCTGCTCGCCGCCCTCCTTGCCGTCGCAGCGCTCTCCGCCGCTGCGGCGTGGGAGGACTACGACCACCACATGTACCACAAGTGCTACAGGTCCTGCATGAGGAAGTGCGACGACGACTACGACGATGATGACGACGACGACGACGCCTTCAAGAATGGCATCCGCCCCGTTGCAGTCTCCGTGTCCGATGATCACGACCATGACGACCACCACGATGATCACGACCACGACCACGACGACCACGACCATGATGACCACCACCACCACGACCATGGCGAACACCATGACGACGACGACGATGACGACGACGAGTGCCGGGTGGAGTGCACCGAGGAATGCATCGACTACGTGCCCGGCATTTGTTACCACCACTGCGTCTCCCGCTCATGTCTTTACTTGCCACCATGTACGTTCATTGCAAGGATATATACTTCTGAAGTCCTACTCCTGATTAATTTTAATTAATCCCTTGACCCTTCTAATGCATTTGTTGTGTTTCTATCTGACCGCAGATAGCTACCGGAGAACGGCTTGCTTCCATCGATGCGGCCACAGATGCTACCACCATGGCCACCATCATCATCGCCATCACCACCATGACGATGATGATGATGACCACCACGACGACGATGACCACCACGATAGCCCAACACCAAGCCCACCTAAACCTGGACCCAAGCCAAAACCACCCAAGCCAAGGCCAACGCCCAAGCCACCGAGGCCTAGTCCAACGCCGGAGATACCGCCCATGCAGCAGAAGCCCAGACAGCCAAGTACCCCGAAGCCACCACAAAAGCCGACACTGCCGAGTTCTCCGAAGCCGACACCGCCAACGCCTAGTACACCGAAGCCACCACCAAAGCCAACGCCTAGTACACCGAAGAAAGCCGCCACCGAGTACTGATCGGAAGCCACCACCGAAGCCGTCCACACCGCCTAGTACCCCGAAGCCACCACTAAAGTCTGTAGCGCCAAGTATCCCGAAGCCGGCACCGTCGAGTACCCCAAAACCACCACCGAAGCCAACAACGTCTAGTACATCAAAACCACCACTGGAGTCAGTAGCACCCCCGAAGCCACCACTAGAGCAGACAAATCCACCACCAGAACTGACATTGTCCAATACTCCAAAGTCACCACCGAAACTGATATCATTCACTAAATCGAAGCCACCTCATATTACACCGAAGCCACCAGCACCGCCCAGTACACCAAAGCCACCTTATATTACACCAAAGCCACCGGCACCGCCTAGAACACCAAAGCTAGCAACTCCCAAGCCGCTGAAGCCATCACCGAGGAGACAAAGCTAGGAGTGCCTAAACCAGGACCGAAGCCATCTAAGCCGCCGTCGCGCCTCAGGCTACCCAAAACAGTTGATGGATAATTCATTTCATGACTGGACGACATACACATGATTATATTGAGATTGTTACTGATTACTTTATCCAGTAGAAATATGAGAGGATTATATCTCAATTTGGTAGAAGTAAATTGGGCATAAATAAACCTGATATAACAAGCCTAGTTCTATGGGTCCATTTCTGCATGATGTACTGAAGGGTCATATTATATGTAGGGTAAGAATTGCATAATCCTATGTTCTCGATCTTTTATTTCACAAAGTGGTGGGGATCAGGCTACGAGACTACAGAGGATGTAGTATATGGTATATGTTAGACGGATGTTTCAGCACCAGACTCGCGTATGCACGCACGTAAACCATGTGTGCACAAAGCCATGACATACTCACATATGGGCTCAGGCAGTTACGGCAACCACCTAGGATTAGGCTTTGCTTCTATCCTTTGCATGCATGTAATCTTAGGATTACTTTCCTTCTGCTTTATTATGCATTGCGTTAGATATTTAGACAATTTTAGCAGCAATTTAATCCAAAAAAAGACATTAAATAAAATTATCATGTTGGTGACGTCATATATGTGCTTGTGTGTCTTAAACGTGACGAGCATGTAGATGATACTCAAACTAAGGATTGACAGCCAAGACCTTAGAAAATTCGTTCTAGAAACATTCCCAGTGGCAGAGCCGGATGCACTCGAAGACATAGTGTCTGTCGACGTAGTCGCCCCGCTTGATGCAGTGCAGAGGAGAAGCCGTGCCAATCACTAGCGATCCTCCAGGACGCAGAGGACGTAGCGAGTAGTCATGCCACGACACTCCCCAAAAACATGATTGTCGCCCTTCACCCGAGCAGACGAACCCGAAGACAGCGAGCGTTCCAGAGGCCTACTCTCCCAGTTCGTGTGCGCGCAGGAACTGGGACAGGGAGAACCAGAGAACAACTGAATATGTGGTTGTCTCGGAAGCGAAGAAGATGACTGACGGAGAAGCCGAGATTATATGCTCGCGGCCAGGGAGGCGATGGGGCGTAGGAGGAGATCAGAGGACCGAGGAGACGTGCGGACGCAGATGGCAGTAACAGGCGAAACTTCCGCCATGAAGCCGCCACCGACATAAAAGAGAGTAACTCTCGTAATTATATGGATTTGAGTGGCAAAACCATTCTCGTCCCATCCGTCCGTCCGTTCATCCGCTCGCCGCCTGCCTCGCCTCGCCACGCCCACGCGTGTGGCATACCTACGTCCTTTTCTAAGCTTCTCAATATAGATAGACAATATCCAACCATATAAACCGAGTCAACATCCAGTCAAAATCTCATACGGTATTAAACTATATATCGCACATTATTACGAGTCATAGAGTTTATTTGATTTATTAAATATTATATGGGCCAAGCCCATAATATATCAATAATTTCCACCAAACTCTAGGATTCGTAGTAAAATAGTCTAAAAACCATATTTCTTTAATATACCAGAGTTTCGATGGAGACTGTTAAGTTGAACATCCATCTAGAGCAGTAGTTACACTCAATCATAACTTATCAATAGACTATGCTTTAAATTGACAGTTTTGTGTGAGGTGAGTTTCACTAAAATTCTTATCTTGTACTAGGCTGCAACAAGGACCCCCTCTATTTGAAGCATATAAGTCGCACTTCAAGGCCTTTCATGAGTATCTAGAGATTACTCACATCTCATAGATTGTGACTAGCAATGGAACTCACATAGGTGTGTTCCTTTTAGGATGTTCTGTAGGATAACATCCCTGCTTAAATAAGCCACTCGAATCACATTAAAGAATTAACTATCCTATCTTATAGTATTGGAGAAACAGTGCATCTCAAATGATTCGGACCTTAGCATAAGGGGTCTCTCCCTCAGTCAACCACTAGCTTGTTTCACCATCCTATTTCACAGGATTTCCGATCACATAGGACAGGTTACCACTATGGAATGATTTCAAGTGGGTCTCAAACCCAACTCCCTCGACGCACCTTCTATCACATTGTGTGATAGACCCTTTGTAAACTGATCTGCCAGATTCTTAGATATATGTACATAGTCTAATGCAATTACTCCGGAGTTTCTCAGTTTTCTGACAGATTTTAACCTCCTTTTCACATGCCTTGTAGACTTCATGTTGTCCCTAGAACTATTCACTTTGATTATCACCGTTTGGTTATCACAGTTCATGGAAATGGCCGGTATCGGTTTTTCAACTACCGGTAAATCCATTAGGAGCTCACAAAGCCACTCGGCCTCAACACCGGCGGTGTCTAATGCTGTGAGTTCTACTTTCATTGTTGACCTCGTTAAGACGATCTGTTTGCAAGACTTCCATGAAATAGCACCACCTCCAAGTGAGAACACATATCCACTTGTGGTATAAATCTCATCAGAATCAGATATCCAGTTTGCATCACAGTAACCCTCTAGTACCCTCGGGTATCCGGTATAGTGAATGCCATAGCTCATGGTGCAACACCCTCTCAAGAGCGTGCTAGTGTTTATCTCCTGGATTTAAAACAAACCAGCTAACTTTGCTCACAGCAAATGAGATATCAGGCCTTATTGCACTAGCCAAATACATAAGTGAGCCAACAATTTGAGAATATCTCAATTCATCCCGTGCTATTCTGCGATTTTTCCTTAATAGCACACTTGGGTCATACGGAGTTGGAGAAGGCATGCATTCACTATAACCAAAGCGATTTAGCACATTTTCCACATAGTGAGATTGCATAAATGTTACCCCACCATTTTCTTCTCTCAGTAGCTTTATGTTAAGAATAACATCAGCCTCACCTAAGTCTTTCATCTCAAAATTATTAGACAGAAAATCTTTTACTTCCTTGATCACATTAATATTATTTCTAAAGATTAAAATATCATCCACATACAAGCACAAAATTACACCTTCTCTACCACCATACCGATAATAGACACATTTATCAGCTTCATTCACAGCAAAGCCGGCTGATGTCAAAGTTTTGACAAACTTCTCATGCCACTGCTTAGGAGCTTGCTTTAGGCCATACAAGGATTTTAATAATTTGCAAACCTTACCCTCTTTACCTTTTGCTACAAATCTATTAGGCTGATCCATGTAGATCTCTTCCTCAAGCTCTCCATTTAAGAAAGTTGTCTTAACGTCCTAATGAATGAGAAGACCATGTGAGGTAGTCAAGGATAGCAACACGCTTATGGTCATCAAACGGGCAACTGGTGAGTAAGTATCAAAATAATCCTCTCATTTCCTTTGAGTATAACCTTTAGCCACTAGCCTCACCTTGTACTTCTCAATAGTACCATCAGGCCTAAACTTCTTTTTGAAGACCCATTTACACCCCACTGGTTTGCATCCATAAAAACAATCAACCACTTCCCAAGTTTCATTAGACATAATAGTGTCCATCTCACTTAGCTTCCTTCCACAAGTCAGCGTTAAGAGATGAATATGCCTCAGCTATGGTTGTGGGAGTGTCATCCACAAGGTATATAATATAGTCTTCACCAAAGGATTTTGAAACCCTCTGCCTCTTACTCTTTCGAGTGACTATATTATTATCCTCCTCAGAAATTTGTTCATGGGTTTCAACATCAGCGTGTATTACTGGTTCATGTGTCTCTGGCAGAAAAATAGATTCATGACTAAAAGTTCTAGGTCTATTTTTCATGGGAAATTCACTCTAAAAAATGTCACATCTCTAGATTCCATAATTATTCCACCAACCATATCAGGAACACAAGAGTTTATTATTAAAAATCTATAACTCATGCTGTGAATAGCATAACCGAGAAAGACATAATCAACAGTTTTTGTTCCAAGCTTTCGCTTTTTGTTTATTGGCACATTCACCTTTGCCGAATAACCCCATATTCGCAGGTAGGAAAGATTTAATCTCTTCTTCTTCCATTCCTCGAATGGTGTAATTTCTTTGTTCTTTGTGGTCACCCTATTTAGGACATGACACGCTGTCAAAATTGCCTCACCCCACCATTCCTTAGTCCCGCAGTCTCTAACATGACATTAACCAACTCAATTAGAGTGTGGTTCTTTTTCTCTGCAATCCCATTAGACTGTGGTGAGTATGGTGGCGTCCTCTCATGAATAATGCCATGCACCGCACAAAACTCAGAAAATTCGTTTGAGAAATATTCTCCCCGCGACCAGACCACAAACGTTTAATTTTCTTCTCAAGTTGATTTTCTACCTCAGCTTTATAGATCTTAAAATAATGCAACACTTCATCTTTTGATTTTAATAAATACACATAGCAAATCGAGTGCAATCATCTATGAACGTTATGAAATATCTCTGCACCTTTGGTCAACTATCCGTTCATCTCACACACATCAGAATGGATTAGTTCTAACGGTGCCAAATTCCTCGCCGTAGTAGCCTAGTAAGGCTTGCGAGGTTGCTTTGATTCAACACAAACATGGCACTTCGAACCTTTGACCAAATTAAATTTTGGAACTAAATTTAAACCAGCTAAGCGAGTCATGCAACCAAAATTAATATGATATAAGCGCG